CTATAAATAAGATTCGCTTCATACAGACATTCAAATACTTCTTTGCTATTTTTCATGATTTCATGCGATGTATCATCAAAGTGGGTCATGGTTTAAATTAGTCGATTATAGAATCTAGTGATTGAGAGACCCATACAAATATGAGTGCCAGTATGTTTGTCTGTCACACGATTAGAATATAGCCCCGAGTAGTATCTTACTGTTGCGTCCAATGTGGCTGCCGGTGGTTTGTCATCAAATTACTAAATTCAATTAGTACAATTTTGCATCGACAGCACTCGATAAGTGGGACATACAGTTTAGCAGAATATAATGTAGGTGTAAGCTCGAGTGGAAAGTTCCTCATCAGCAGTACAGTAGCAAACTGCCGGCGTTTGCAGTAAGGTGCTTGTGTGCGTGTGTATATGTACAGGCAGTGAGAGTGTGTGTGTTGCAGGGTGCGGGCGGCGGTGCCGCTGGGCAGGAAGTCGGAGAGCGAGAAGGACAAGTAGGCGAGAGCGAGACGCAGCACGCTCAGTACTTCACTGTTTGTTATATTTATTATTATGTACTATTAAAGATAACTACTTTACGTGTAAAGCTTTATGAGACGAGTCATGCGGAGATTATTGTATTTGCTTTTTGAAATTTTAAATTAAAATAACTGTCGAACCGAGGGTTGTTTTCATTTCATAACAATCTTATTGGTGTATTATCTTTGACACGGAGCCACTCCACCAAATTCTTTGGTTGCAAAAAACGGATAGGAAATTAGGCTGGTACCATATGTTGGCGAAAACTTCTACAGTAAAACTTATACTATAAAATAAAAATTTTCGAAATCTGAAACACATAACAACGATGCTGTCCACGTGCAATTTGTGTCCAACAGATTATAAGTTGTCCACCTCATGGTGTCCATTCAAGAGCCGACTGCTAATGCTATATTAACTAAGATATAAAATGATGTGGCCTTTGGATTTAGACATTCCCAGTGGCTGAGATAGGTACCTTCAATGCCAGCCGGCTCGGAAAGTTGCTGGTGTACCTAAGTCACAAGTAGTACTTTACCCACGGGTCATAAATAGACCCTAAGGCGAACGCTCTGTTCAATGTCTGAATATCTACGTTCTACCAGATTCGGAACATGAAGATAATTTGTATGAATTATCTGCCACATACTACTTACTGGTACTTCGGGAATGAACTTATAAGCGGGCGGTAAACTTACCTAACCTAACCACCAGCATCGGGGATAGTTTTGTTTTATATTAAGACTCGATTTACAATAAATGTTTTAGTCAGATAATCTCTTTTTAATAATAACTCAGGTAATTGACATTGTCTAATGTTAATGTTTGTTATTCCAATTCATTAATGGAATTAAATATTATGATGCCACAGCCCAAGGCGGCAAATTCTGGGGCGCCAAGGTCTGAAGTCTTAGAGTCTCTTGCCTCTCCTGGTGCAAACCCTCAGAACTGTGATCTACGCTCTGTTCACATGCATATTTTTCATTGAAATTTTATTTAGATGGAATTTTTGAAGGTTTGTGGTCGAGGAGTGGCTCTAACGATATCGATTACGATTGCTATACGATCAGCAAAAAACTAAAACTTGATATTGTTTCCCTCAAGTGGGCGCCACAATATTTTCGCCCGGGGTGTCAGTGGCCCTTATGCCGACACTGATCACCAGAAAATTGATACCCTAAGCTCTTACCAAAAACATAAATATATTTAACACCAAAAAAGTAATTTCAAAAATAACCCTAGCTGCTTTAGTCAAGATCGGACGCGTCATTTACTTTAACAGGAAAATGATATAGGGGTATTTTGTATGTAATTTGAAATTAAATATATGGTTAATAATTTGGTATTCATTATCGTTTGGAGTTATTTGTGTTCAAACTTTGGTTATAATTTCATATTAAACTATAGTTTCAGTTTTGGAAATCATTTACTATTTTTGGCTCAACTATGATTTATTTGAAGCTTTAATAGGACAGGGAACTATACAAAATGTGGTTATAGTTTTAAATTAAAATGCGGTTTTCGTTCTGGTGATCATTTGATATAAGTTTTTGAACACCAGGTTATTAGTTAAACGTTAGTCTTAATTTTATCGTAGCGTGATGTTTTATAGCCTATCGCAGGAACATTGTAGCTATCTATCAGTGAGAGAATTTTGACAATCCGACCAGCGGTTCCAAAGATTACGGACCCCCTACATACAAACTTATAAACATACAAACTTACTACCTCTTTATTATATTAGTACAGATATCCCACTCATACGCACGAATCTGTTCGCCTCCAGTGTTATGATCAGAACCGCTTAGGAGTGGAATTCTTTGGCCCGAGTGAATCGGTTGCTTATAGATTGGCGTGATCCATCGTAGGTCGCGTCATCGCTTAGGTATACCAGGCGTAATAGCGGCAAAATGCCTGCACTATACGAAATAAAAAAAAGTAAATTTAAATATAACAATTAATTAATTTATTCATTTATTATTAGGTACGCTCACAGCTTATGTATACAAGTGGTTAAAGTATTGGTTATAGGCAGTAGGTGAGTTAGGTCATATAGGTACCTACATTAGCCAGTTACGAGCTAACCAACATTCTAAAAATTATGCGTATATACAGTCAAAATATATAGAAATTAAAACTAGAACTAATTAAATTAACATAGGTAGAACAACAGTATTAATCATAGTAAAGTATTAACTAAATAAAATAAACATAAAATTTGATGTGTGCTACCATTTAAAAATTTAGAATTATGCTACATGAATGTATAATGTAGTTATTATTTTAGACATTTTAGATAGAAGGAGTAGGTATATAAAAATTCGGATTATTGTTGAATGGACTCGAATATTTTTGATTTAAATACCTACATGAATGGTGTCGTGGAGTATATCGGTCTTGGCTTGTTGTTCGGTAGATTTATGGCTATGCTAGCTAAAAGATTGTGGCAATCGAGTTTGTTGTTGACTATTTTATAGAGAAACATAATGTTATGACCACCAATCGCCTATGACGTAGAGTTTGCATTTCAAAGCACTCGATACGCTGATTATATGGCAACGTGGAGAGATCTTATTGGAGGTATAAGCTAAGTGTCTTGTGAAGGCCCTCTGAAGTTGTTCAATCCTCTGTGAGTGGACAGCATAATTTGGGTTCCAAACAATACTGGCAAACGCCAAGTAAGTCCTTACTAAGGTGTTGTACAGTACTACTTTAGTACTACTATGTTGAAAGCCTTTAGTATTTCTTTTTAAAAATCAAAGCTGTGTGTCTTACGAAGGTAAGCTTGGTAGGTACAACATCTAAGGTCCCGCACCTCATTAACAGATTCTACAGCAGTGCCATTGATGGTATACGAGGCAGTCCCAGAGTTTATTTTTCTAGTGAATCTGATATGAGAGCACTTCTGTACATTGAGTTTCACACGATTAATAATGCACCAGTTCTCAATTCTGTTTAAGTCTTGCTGGATTAGATTAATGTCATCGTTTTTGTTTATCTGTCGGTATAACTTTAAGTCATCTGCGAACATTAGGTATTTGCTATGCTGAATTTCTTGACATATATCATTAATAAACAGAGAAAAAAGGATCGGCGCAAGATGGGAACCCTGAGGAACGCCAGAATCTGCAGAATATGGATAGGATTCGTATCCGTTGATGACTAGCATTTGTGATCTGCGATGTAAATGCGATGAGAACCAATTAAATAACGATCCATGTATTCCATTGTAGTGCAATTTCAACAAAAGCAAAGAATGATCGACTTTATCGAACGCGTTAGAAAAATCGGTGTAGATAGCATCGATCTCAGATCTTTGATCTAAGGCAGGAGAGATATCAGACACAAATTCAACCAGATTTGTATCTACGCTGCTACCAGCTTTGAAACCACATTGGCAAGGCGAAATAACTTTGTTTAGATAGCGCGTGATGATGGGACATACCAGGGATTCAAAGAATTCGCTACAACCAAACACTTCATTTCCCTGTATATGTATATTACCTACCCATATCTAATCGTTTCAATCCATGATATATGTATATCCATCCAAATAACGCGACTGAGACGTCAAGGATTTAAAGGACGGGGGCACACATGATAGCTTCAAACGCTTTCGGGGGGGCGGGGGGGGGGGGGGGGGGGGAGGGGCGGGGGGGAATATCTGAACATGCCTACTTAGTAATGCTTTTGAAGGAATCTATATGTGCGCGTGTTACAAGTGCGTTGTCACCCTTTTGGAGGTTGTTAGGGAATTAAGAAAAGAAAAACCGAACTATTTTCCTCCTTTAATTTTATTTTTCCTTCCTCCTTACTTTTCAATAGCCATAACGGCTGGCATTACTTAGTAGGCAACCGATCTTAATGCAAAATCTCTGGTACATTTATGTTTTCAACTGTTGTTCTGTATGGGATATGTCGGTAATTCAGCTTACTGATCACCTGTAGTAAGCAATGGACGCCACCTACTACTCGTAGTTCGACCAACTCGAGTTACAAGTGCGCTGCCGGCCTATATCGGGATTGGGGACAAGGGAGGGAGATGGGAAAGGATTGGTCATCAGCTTATTTCATTTTCGGCAAAATACAACGCAGCATAATTTCACTCCGGTATTCTAGTGCTCCACCGTATCTTCTAGTTGGTGCTGGAGCATGTTTTCGGCAATCTGCAAAACGTTTTCCTAGGCAGACATAGTACCTATAATATAACTACTCAATAGATTGTAATTTTATTATAGGTACGTACTGACGAAGCTAGTTATTAATTAAATTATGTATATCGTATCGATCAATAGTACGCGTGAATTTTATTATTAGGTAATAAATATTTTCAATCTGAATTTTTCGTTATTATTGAGAGTTCCAACCTATAGTTAAACAATGACATGTAAGAAATATGAGATTTGAAGACTTAAGAGATAAAAATGTAGGTAGTCAAGTCAGTTTTCAGTCTTAGTCTATGGTCAGTACCATCTGATATTGACATTTGGGAGTTGTGATCACTGTCACTGTCAATGTCATACATAGGTACATAACTCAAAGTCAAAGCAAAGTCCACTTTTATACAAGTGTTTGCTCAACCCGCAATGTAAATAATTTTAAAAATTAAAATATTTTTTTTAAAAATCTAACTCAAAAACTTTTATAAATATATTTTTTATAGTTCTTGTGTTTTTTTGTAAGTGTAGTATTATAAGTTGAAGTTGTTAAATCGGTTTCCTGCTTATAAATGTATAATAAGTTAGTAAGGCTGTAAGGCCAAGAGCATGTGAAAGCGAATGATGTAAGGAAGCACGCAGTATTGAAACATTGGAATTAAGTGTAAACCGCATTGTGGTACGGATCGTATTCAAAATACTGAAATAACTGCGGCATGGCAAGCAGTGCAAGGTTTGTAAACATTTTTATTGAATACAGTCGTGCTAGAGGTACAGCAGATGAACAGCCAGTGTGTCAGCGTGATTCAGTGAAATTGTGCAGTGTAGTGTTAGAGTAGAGACAGGCTCCAGCCCTCGGCTTCTAGACAATTGTGTTGTATTTGTGAAGTACACACATTATGTATGAGGTTTTGTTTTGGTTGTGTGTCCTATTTTACACAATGTTTGATTCCAATTGTCTTTTGGTTTACCTTTATTCAATTTTTATCAAATCCACTTGGAAAATTTAGAGTAACTCCTCCTTAGGTCTGTGATACCTACACTTTTTTCTTTAATGCGGCTTTAACCTTGCCTTGAAATATATGCAAAAAAAATACATATTTTTGAAGGTAAAATCTTGTTAAGTGTATCATTCTTTAATATCAATATTTTTTTAAATACTTATTGATATTAAAACACTGGAAACCAACTTATCCATGTGTCATGTTTAGTATCTTATTGCTGCACCCTGTAATGTACTTCTGAACTTTGTAAAATTATGTAAATTTTCAAACTCAAAGTGTTTATTGCAAACTAAGTATACAATGTTGGTGTTGCAATAATTGTCTTCCTAAATCAGAAGTTTTTAAATAAGACATTGTAGCATTGTATTTTCTAGTATTAAGTATTAAATTTGTTATTTAGTTATTTCAAAATCAATTAAATTAAAACAATATTCAGCAATATTTCATGTTATAATTGTAATTTGAATAATCCAATATTACTAAGATAGACTGAATGAAAAAAAATAGAAAATCAATTCCATTATTATTATTAATAAAACCGACAATCAAGCAAAGTAATAAAGCCATCAATATTTAAATACTTATTTAAATAAAAAAAGAAAATGTTTTACAAGAAGGTACCTTTGATAACAACCAAAACTAGTGTGACAAGTTTCTGTGTCTGTCTCTACTCTGTAACTACCAGCACAAGTATGGTTGTCATTGGTTTGGTTTTGGATTTCAAGTTTTGTGGTTTCCAGGTGACAAGTGTAAACTCTTCTGTATAACATGAGGGGATAATGCCAGCTTCCTTTGCACAGTATGTAGTTCTTTCATTCTCTATACTCTAATCCACCACTCACTTAGTTTTATGGGTTGCTTTCAATTAATTGTACTAAACAGGTTACTATATATCAGTGGGCTTCCAAATCACCTAATAACAATTCTGTTGTATCGTTTGATTGTGTGGCAATTGACTTCAGTTTAAAAACAGCAAAGCAATTCACAATGTTGTTCTTGTTTAACATATTCCCCATTACTTATTTTTGGTTATTTAAATAATAATTACCTACTAATACTATTCCACAAATACACTTTTCAAGGAAAATAAAATAATTTGCAACCATCAACATGCCTCCTTCATTAGAAAATAAATAATAGGTATTATAACAAAAAAGTGGCATTGGGTTTTCCATTTGTGGTTTGTCTTGTTTTACCTCCACATAATTGGGAGTACAATTCCTGTACAACAACTTGTGAATTACTTACATTACTTTGTGTAGTATTAAGTACTAAATAATTGTTTGTGAACTGTGCATTATGTCATAGTCTAGGTTTGCTTTTCATCCAAAGTATCCATTAAGGCTACAAAATAAATCTCATCAGTTAAGAAACATATATCTTGTGACTTATCTTTTACTCAGCCATGAGGAATTTGACAGTTGCAACATTATTAAGTTAATTAAATAAGAACACTGGCCTATCTGTTTATATACATTGCCTTGACTAAATCTTTACGACTGATAAGACGAGGGTATACTTTATTTATGTTGAAACACAAACATCACTTGTAACATATTGAGATATATTTTGTAGCGATGGCGCCACAGTCAAACAGCGTATTGAATTAACTGTCCGCTGTTTGAAGGTGAGTGCCATGCACAGCACAACTGTCATCAGATATCCTGTACCCGTGCAACTTTCGTAGAACAACAGTTGGAGAGACAGTGTCTGACGACAGTTGGCTTGGTTTATGTTCTGCTTGACCCATTCCATGGCACTTGTGGCAGCTAGGGGCGCGTGGCTGTGGTGAGGCGGGCACAATGCTCGCTCGCCGCGCTCCGCCGCCGCGCCCGCGCCGCCGCGGCCCTGCGTCGCCGCCGGTAGGTACCTAGCTACTCGCCGCCGCTAATACCTGTGTACACTGTGTATCAACAAGTAGAGCACTCTGAGCAAATACTTCAGTGCCCGAGTAATCTCCACCAGCAGCTTCCCGGCTCCTGACACCAATCTTGGGGTATTTACTTTACGTAGACGCGACACAAGTGATATGTCGGACCACAAAACCACATTCGCTCTTCATTCTCCAAAGCGTTGTTGCTGTAGATGGTTGTGTCGGAATTAATTAAAACTCTATATAACGTGTTCGTCATTGGTTTGTCTGTAACGCGGGCTCAAGTCGTCGCGGCTCTACTCAGTACATAAGCATTTTGTTGTCCAATTAATTGTCAATTAAATAGTAATTGATCAGAACAAGTCCGCGGAGGATCGTGGTGGAGATGTAAGTGTGGTGTTGCCTATCATGCCTGGGTCACATGTGTGTGTGGGTGGTAGGGTGGAGGTCCAGCAGTGCGAGCCTGCCGCCGCCAGCCGCTCCGCCAAGACGTGCCGTCTGTGCCCGGCCCCCGTCCTGCACCGCCGTTTTACTAACAAACCACTAATATCATAATCATTGAAATGGAGGACGGGTATGTTTTAATTGAGCATTGTTTCATTATCTCGGTAATTAAATACCTAAATTTATTCATTGCCGTAACTCTTAATATTAGTGTTTCATTAGTTTTACATTTTATTAGAAACTAGTTTCGATTACAAAGTATAGCTTCACAGACCTTCGATAAACAATATCTATTCAATATTTCGCACTTATATGTGGGTAATTGAATTATTTCTGTAGTTTATTATCTCGCATATAGTAATACAGGTGCTCTGTAAAATTAATACGAACCTTGAAATTATTCATTATTTTAAATGTAAATAATATCAAACACTGTGTTTAATTGAGGCAAAACGCCATAACAAATAGTTGTTGTGTTAATTTTTTATAAATAATGAAGTCAATGTTGTAGCAGCTGTGCAACTCATCATTGGGTTCAGTTTCCGCACGGAACGTAGACCGGATCTATAAAGACTTAAATTCATTTTGTCGTTAGTATTTCGATAAGTACCTTCGTGACTAGTGCATGGGCATGAAGCGAATCCAGAGTTGCGGTGCTGGGTACAGCTACTACTTACAACGGACTTATCGTCAATTTATCCAACTTGTTTTTACAAATTTAATTACAAATGACTTGTCATTACGTATCAGACTACCTTCATTTAATTATGTTGTTACATATTTAAAAAAACAGAGAAAACACAAACATTAATATGGTGTACTGACACTCATACTTCCTGCATTCAGGAGGCTAGCCGTTATGTAGCCACTGCCTGATGCTAACAGGAAACTAGATCTCTGAAGTAATGTAGTTGGCCGATAAGTGAAATCGTACCGAGTATTTAGTTTATTGTACGAAGTCGTGACCATGACCTTAATGATTTGTCGTGTGCGTCGCCCGCGCGAATCTGTCATTACATACGAGACAGTACGCACACTGTTCTCTTACTGAACTCTGCAAATAACTTACTGATTAAACTGGAGTGCAGCAATACATGTTTACGGCGGACGCGGGACGCCTCCGTACTGTCCGCTGTGTCCGACCCGTGCTGCCCATTGAGTGTCCAGTCGCGCACTGATCGCCGTCAACGGCGCGCCTGCTTCACTACCGCCGACACAAACAACACTTCCAGTACAATCGCGACTGCGTCCAATCAGTCGTTATCAATGATTGCTGTCTCAATATTTCGATACTTTATCGGATCCTATCCAGTTAACAACTATTGTACTAACACCCGGTTCCTCCTCCACTCCTCGGTATGTACCACTTACCTAAATAAGATAAAGTTGTCTAGTATTATCTTTACCTACTTATTATAATATCTGAAACTTCCGGCCGTGTGACGCCATCTGTATCATATGTAATCTTCTGTATCATCACTGCACTGAAGTAGGACTTGGAGCTCACAGAATGTTTAATGTTGTTCGAACATATCCCTTTTGGAGTAAAACAAACATAAATTGTTCCGTTTCATTAGTAGTGAACATTGAAGAAATGAGGATTGTGCAATCATGCTAAATTATTAGCTGATTATACTTATCTAGCAGTGTACATATATACAAAGCGTCACAAGCGTTTCAGACGTGTCCGTAGCAAGTCGGTGAGTGAGTGCGCGTTGTGTGCAGGTTGAGCGAAGAGAAAGAGAGTTCGCCGTGTTTGGAACGAGAGGAACGAGCGGCCGTCAACATGTGGGGAGCGCAGCGCCGGGTGGCGCTCGACGTGCTCATGGCGTGCTGGGGGCTCGGCACGTGGCTCGGGGTCAACGGGCTGTACGTGCAGCTGCCGCTGCTGGTGGAGCGCCTGCCCGAGGGCTGGGCGCTGCCGTCCTCCATGGTCATGGCCGTGCAGCTCGCCAACAGCGGCCTGCTGCTGTACGCCGTGCTGCGCCGCCTGCTGCCACGCGTGTCCGACGCCTACTACATCGCGGGGCTGCTCGTCATCGGCACGCTGGCGCTGCTGCTGAACGCCTTTCTATACGAGCAAACAGCTGTGATCGGCTCCGAGGAGCGGTCGATCGCTTATTTGGCGTTGACGTTCTTCGCGGCGCTGGTAGGATGCACCAGCTCCGTGCTGTTCTACCCGTACTTAAGACATTTCCGTGATGTGTACCTGGCAACGTACTTAGTGGGTGAGGGTCTGAGTGGGTTCGTGCCGAGCCTCCTGGCGCTGGTCCAGGGCGTGGGCGGGGCACCCAAGTGCCTGCCGAACGAGGATAACACGAGTCTGGTGCCGCACTACCCGCCCGCGCGGTTCGACACTACCGTGTTCCTGGTGCTGCTCAGTGGGCTGTCGGCCGCCAGCCTGGTCAGCTTCGTCGTCATCAACAAATACAAGGGCTTCCAGTCGGAGCGAGTGGCTCCGGCGGCAGCGGCTAAGGATGACGAGGCGACGTCGGAGCGACCCTCGCTGCTGGTGCCTCGCTGGATGGGCGTGATGGCTCTGATGGCGGTGCTGAATGCAGTGAACAACGGCGTGATGCCGTCGGTGCAGTCGTACTCGTGCATGCCGTACGGCACGCGCGCCTACCACCTGGCGGTGACGCTGGGCGCGATGGCCAACCCGGCGGCGTGCCTGGCCGGCGTGTGGCTGAAGCCGGTGGCGGGGCGCGTGCTGGCCGCCATGCTGCTGGCCGCCAGCGTCCCCTTCGCCTACATCCTGGCCACGGCGCTGCTCAGTCCGGCTCCGCCGCTGCAGTATACCGCGGGAGGAGAAGTTCTTATCGTGAGTGTTCCAAATTTGTTATTACAGTCGTGTGCTGAATACTTAAACTAAAATAAAGCCGTAACTACGTTGTACCAAAGTAGTGTCACAATAGTATGTCTCAAAATGTGTAAGGTGTACCTAATTCCCTAAATATTTATACTCGAATATTTGTTAATAACGATACTTACTGTTTATCTCTTACGTTGCATGGGTTATCAACAAATTACATAAAAATATCTTAATTGTCGCAAATGAGTGCGACACGCGTGCGTGGAATATTATCTTTTAAGTTCTTGTCGAAAAGCTTTACCAGTCAAAAGTAATTTTAACTAGCAAAATCTTTAAAGTTAACATTTCCTATTCGCGGTTCCTTTTTCTGTCTGCGCATTTCGAGCCCTAGATGGACCTAGCCAAAACTAACTACCACATCAAGGGGCCCCAGGGAAAGTCTACCCAGTTTGACCGGTTAAGTATATTTGATTGGACTAGTTAGTTGTACTTCTGTCTGGTTGAGAGTTTAGTCTGCGACACATATAGATAGTGAGTGTCTGGCTGCAGGTGGCGTCGTGGGTGCTGTCGTCGGGGGTGATCTCGTACGCGCGCATGTGGGTGTACGGGTGGGCGCGGGGCGGCGGCGCGCGGGGGATGCGCCTGTGCGGCGCGCTCGGCCAGCTCGGCTCCGTGCTGGGCTCGGCCAGCACTTACTTCATCGTCAACTACACCGCCCTCTTCGTGCAGGCCGACGCCTGCCCCGCCATCTCCTCGCTCACACATCTATAGCGCACTACTCGCTGACACGCAACAAACCGTACGCAGTGTATCTGTGCTGCAGTACTAGATACGAGCACTTCACTAGTATTGTTATTAGTCCTATGTATAGGGGCACCATTCCAGATGTCCTGCCACTACTGAGTATCGTGCCCGAATGATCTCGTGCGTCGCAGCGCCCTGGACTCCACTACACGGACGTGGCAAGACTACTTAACTTTAGAATAAGGATAATATTTAATATAGACTATTTATGTTGACGTTTATTTTCTTGTTTTATTTCCTCCTGTTTTTTAAGGTCATAGGTCGGCAAACGTTCAAACGGATTACCTGATAATCTGGTAAGCAATCAGCGCCGCCCGCGGACACTCGCAGTACCAAAGACTACTACAAGTGCGTTGCCGGTCTCTCGTGGGTCCTTAGGGATTTAAGGATTGAGGATTTTGGAGAGGGGACACGGCGCACTCAACGCACTTCTTGCAGGTCACATATTATGTGAAATCTATTTACAGCTCTAACAGGTTTCTTCGCAGTTACTATATAGATAAATAGATGACTATTCAATCAATAAAAACAAACTGTCACCATCACAACCAGTTGCATAGCTAGTGTAATTGCCTACAATATTTTTTTACCTGGAAAACGGTTTTTTTTCAGATGAACTGTTTCTATAAGATATCCCTATTAAACTCAATGAGGGACGCCATATATTTGTGTAGGTAGGGATTTGTTCAAAAAGTTGACTTGATAGTATAGTACAAATGTGGCTGCTAAGTTTCCTCCAGTGACGACCAAGTTAATTACAGTAAAATATCTCATTTCACAGTGTACAGGGGACGTATACCGACAAACAACCTTATGTTGGTGTAATAGACTTGAAGCCCTTGTCGTATATTAGCACAACCGTGAGAATTGCACACGGAACGTTACATTAGCAGAACTTCTCGGAAAATAAAGTCAATTGGGTAGTTTTCTAGGTCAAAAATAAATTAACTCGACGTTTCAATACAATAAGATATTGAAAAATAACTATACTTTTATTCATCGATTGATCGATACACTAAGTTTAAGATATTTTGTATATATTAAGAAATAAGTAAGCTATTTGACGCAAAAATACTATGACGTCATACCTCAGTTTTTCATACAAATTTCATAGAAATGTAGTTATCATTTTTGACGTTTGGATAAAAGTATTGAATTTGACTAGTTGGCAACTACCGTATTAGGTATGATGAGGTTCTGTCTCCACTAGTTCTGGTTCACAAGTTTCTAGTTAAAGCTATTATTACGTCATTATGTGTTTACAAAAGCGACTTATCAAGTAGGTAGTAAGTAATAGCGGCAAGTTTGATGAGACGGCAGTTTTACTCATTAAGGCACATTATCTAATGCCACGTAATGGTGCACAAAGATTGCTGCACAAACACCAGAAGTGCAGCGCGTACCTATGCAATGATTGCCTGCTCTAATCAACGTTAAGGGCAAGTTTACTTTTTTTGATTTTTTAATAAATAAGTACGAATGTCGTAACGTTGTAACCACAGAAATATAAAATTCTTATATCTATGGTTGTAACGTATTCGACATGAGCCCGTGACGTGGTCGATATATGGGAAGATTTCACGGACGCGCAAATTAAGTATAAATTTCAAGTGCAAAGAAAAAGGTTTCTCTGAACTGGATAAGGTTGCGACCCTGTAGAAAATTGGGATAAAAAGTATCTAGGCTAAAGTAGGTGTTGTTTCCTGAAAAGTAAGCTTTGCAATAGTGCAAGTATTTATCAAATCAGTCCAGTCTTTGGGGCCTGTTAGCCTGTTGAACATACAAACGATCAAAATCTTTTTAAGGCCTGGATTATCGATTATAGGTTACTAGCTTTTACCCCTGACTTTGTTCCCGTGGAATAGTGACTACCTGCAGTTATTTTTAAACTATCCTATGTCCTTTCTCGAGTTCCAAACTTTATAGCGTGTTTTTTCTTTCAATTCATATTAGATACCTACCTATATCTTAGCCTCACGAATTTTTGTAGGTACGTGATTATCTCGCGTTTGGTTTTTCAGATTTTGATGCGGTTTCCACAAAGTGTTACTTTACGTATTTATGGTTTATTTTAAACAAAACATTGAAGGTTCTAAAATATCGTAGATAAGTGATGGTTACATGTATGATTCGCATTATATGTATTATCCTATATGTAGATATAAACTGATTCACATACTACGCCTTAACTCGGCCTAGCAGTACCTACATGTCTGCAGTATTCCGCGGAGTAATGTCGCGTCAGTCGTAGTATAAGCGGTATAAGATGGAACTAATAAGTTTTATACTGAGCTACTTCATCACGAAGGACTTGACCATGATGACTGCTTTCATCTGCTGGCCGCCTGGTACTCACTTCAGCTATTCTTATCTTTACCAAACTGCCATAATAATATAGGCAGTTAAATGGTTCAAATTATTATCCTAATGAAATACTTTACTGTTTCAAAGAGGCTATTATTTTAAGAAGAAACGTAGGCAAATGGCTTGGTAACAAGAAGTTCGTATGTTTAGAAGAAGCAATAGAGCTGCACCGCAACGCCCGTGCGGCGGGTGTGAGGCTCACTGTGGTCTCCGATCCTCACTGCTCCACTCGGATGACGCCGTCCGGCTACTTCAGGGAGGCCATGCTGCTCGACCTCAACTGTCCAGACATTCACGTTGTCCTTGAAAAGGTACTTTAATAAAAACATAACCAACTAGGAAATAGAATACCAGAACGGCGGTACCACAATTAAAAAAAAAAAATTGGCCTAATTTATGAAGATTTCAAAGATTCCTTCAGGCCTCCAGGTCTCGGGTCTTGAACAGGCGTCACGCGTGGCTGCTGCTCCATAACTCGTCCGCCGAGCCAGCTCTCGTGGAGGACACTTTGTATGCGTACGAGATCCTGCCCGACGCTGACGTGGTGTGGTCCTCACCATACAATCTGGTAGATGTGTACAAGACGAAGCCGAACCAGCCGCTGCTGCAGGTCGATCTGGGGCTCAGCAGGAACAGTTCCCGGCGGGAGATGTTGTCGCTGTGGGGCGCGCTGCCAACTGCTGTGACTCGCAGGCGGGATCTCAGGAATGTCTCGCTCAAGGGTATTACTGTGGTAAGTCTATTAAACTCTATCCTTGAAGTTAATTAAAACCTACAGAAGTTCTACAAACAGGAAGCATAAATAACTAATTATAGTTTTATATGTAATTATGTACATATTGTAGTGAGATTGTGACATCAATACATTCCGCGTCGATATGTTACACAAACTGTACGCTCATACACAGGTGACAGAGCCAGACAACTTCAAAGGCTGGGCAGACCTGCGCAACCGGCAGATCGACACATTCCCCAAGTTCACGTACCCGCTTATGATGCTCCTTGCGCAGGATTTGCACTTTCGGTACATACGCAATACATATTATCCAAAATATCGGTGTAAAAAATCTCCCCACGAGTTCTGGTTTATGGATGTAAAGACAGATAGACAATAAAGTTAACATGCGAATAAATGTAAGTATACTCATCCTAGTAGTGCTTACACTCACTACTTAGCAGAGAGCAGCATAATTATTGTATAGAAGTGTAGTGTAGCAGGTGTACTGGTGGCAGGTTCGACCTCCGGCAGATGGACTTCTACGGCGTGTCGCACAACGGGTCGTTCGACGGGCTGGTGGGCCACCTGCAGCGGCGGGAGGCGGAGCTGGGGCTCGCCTCGCTGTTCATGCGACAAGACCGCCTGCAAGTCCTGGACTTCTTCTCCGAGACCTGCGTGCTCGCGTTAGTACCAATATTTTTATTTGTCATTATCACATTATATTATTAAATGATTGGCTCTCGCGAACGGCCTTAGTCGAGGCCATGGTGCGGAGCGAGAGGAAGTGGGAAGCCGTCTTCTCTTTCTGCGAAGCATTATGCTCGCAACGAAGGAGGAGGAGCGCGTGAAGGATAGTTCCTCCCCTCACGCCTAAGCCGCTGCAGTAGTAGACACACCGGGCGTCAGGTATCAAACGGCAAGGACGTCAAGGCAGTTATACTTAAAACACTAGTTAAAGCCTATAGACTGTTGCTCATTGTTTTTATTTTGTGCACAGTCATCATCACGCACTCAACACGTCATGGCTCATCGAATCCTTGCGTGACAACGGTTCCGCGAACATGATGACAGAAACCTGAATATTGTGCAAAACACTGTTACTTAGTATCTACTTAATATTTATTTTGAATTGTACCTACCTATACTTTGTTATAGACATAACTTTTTGGTCATAAATTCATTCCACCCAGTCTGGTTCGTGAAGTCACTGAGCGGTGTAAGTAAATGTTTGAAAACTATTGGCAACAAATTGATCCAGATTGATACGATAGTAGTTTTGCAATTTGTCAGATGTTAGTTGACGAAGAATTCTCGACTCGTTCAATTCTTACTTGTAAAAAGCAAACAATATAGATAAGTACGAAGAATTAGGCCATATTAGGTATTATTTATCATTGTAATCTCCTGGGAAAGTAGTGGCTAGATTAGATAGTGATTTCTTCGTCACAATGCATACACTAAGGATTATCTTATTAGAATAATGATTATGTAAATCGAGCTCCTTTGATATTTGCTACGTGATAGATACATTAACAGATTAGTATACTTTGGTAATTCAATGTCAGACTGGGAATTAGTAAGGTGAGGTTTTGTGTTTCCATTCGGTGATTGATCGCTCCGCGGCCGACGCGAGTGTAGGTACAGTCAACGGCAGACAATTTATGAAAATTAAAACTGAAGACACTCAAATAAAAATGTACATTTATAAGATATTATAATACAGTAGCAGTCAAATTCAATACTTTTATTGAATACGTATTTTTCTATGAATTATAAATAGCAACATTGACGTCATATAGGTATATAGATAAAGTTTTGTCAAATATAATATTTAGATATTACTAGCAAAAGTATAGGATAGATCTAAAATTAAATGTATTGTAAAATCAATGAATGATTGTACACCTATGATTATTGTTTAATTATTTTTGCTGTCTGTACCTACAGTTTGGCATTTTGACATTAAAATACTTTTCTTGTGACATAAATGCGATATAACTATACAATAACAACTTATAGACATCGATTACACAAAAGATACGTATCGTGTTTTGAAAGTTTTAGCTTGTTTCGATTCTAACTTAACTATTATAAGACGTCACGGCATTACAGTATTACGTGGAGGGCGGCGGGGAGCGGGGCGAGGTAAATGGCCGAGGCTCTTGCCTATTTCTGTCCGTGCATATTTTAATATGACAAAGAATGTTTGGAACACAAAACCTCAACGACTGAGGTTTGGTGTTCCAAACTTTGCGTTTGGTTCGTTGCACATTCTACACGATGTAGGACAGCCAGCGTAGTTGCTATGCGGCGGATGCGGGACTTAAATTCTGACGAGTTTTAAATTTATATTATTATATAATAGACTCGATTCTTTTTAAAAAAAAACTCAAAGACTCTCTCTGTAGTTTACAGCATAAACATGGGAAGATTACAGGTAATTAAACTAATTTATTTATTATCTACATTATAAAAACATATCGCTTTTTTTTTCAAATTGCCACCAACAAATTTTTGGTTTCGTTTTAGCTTTACAAATATTTAATGCAGCGACTTGAAAACTCGCCGCGGGACTTTGAACTTACAATAATAGATCGATCAATTGTGGCAAAACTGATATGATGGCCTTTGATCGCGCCGAAAATAATAAATAATAACTGGGCGTCAGACATCAGTCCGGTAATGCGACTTTTTTTTAGTACTTACTTTAAATTATCTAGGATTTTCTCCTGTGACGTGGGTGTGGTTACAAACATATAATTTAACACGACTACACACATCACACCTAGACCCGGAACAACAATTTGTGGATTGTAGAAACAAAGAGTTGTTGCGGGAATCGAACCCGCGACACGTTGCACAGCAGCCAGTTAAAAAAATAAATTAATAAAATAAAAGTTATTGAAAAACAAAAATCACACTTTATACAGCTAGCTCAATTGTTTTAAGTAATAATAAGTTTTAATCTAATTACATTTATATGAAAGAGTTAACCCAAGCTAGATTATTATAAATAGGTATGATGATATAGAAAGAGATAAACTTTTAAGTGTAAAGTGCCACTCCTGAACTAGATTTATTTAAACCTGTGTTTCAGGGTATCTTATTACATAATTATCGTTCGATGGAAGACATTATGCTAATCATATGATGTAAATATTATTGACTAAGCAAGTACAAGTATTCTTACGTCTAAAATTACTGTAATAGTACGTTACTAACTAAGCTATTAAAAGGTTGATTTTAACACTTCTAGTATTTTTTTTAGTTGCCCAGACACCGCACCACCCGTGCAGTCAAAACTAGACTTAGGTAACGGCTAGGGCCAGGCTTACTAGGTTGACTGTACCGGCGCTGTCCTGTTGCTAGCTGCAACGATACGATACAGATTTGGTTGTTTCCAATCTTCAAAGTCTCGATCACAGGCGCAAAATGCCAGCCTTGCGGTTTTCTACAGGATGCATTTTGGAGAGTGTGCCCAGGAATTGCACGATTTGATTCCGCCATCTTAATTTCACCTTCGGACATCCCGGCGTACGTTGTTGAGACATCTGCGGCCCTGACTAAGCGTTTTGCCTCGTCATTTATACCGCGTACATCGAGGGATTGGAACAGTTTGCCGGCTGCAGTCTTTCCGTCCAAATATAATTGAGGTGTCTTCAAGGCTAGAGTGAATAGGCTCTTAATAAACTAGTGCGCCTTACCATCAACGATTGCATCACTGCTTACCATCAGGTGGGATCGCACTCAAGCACTAGTTTATTGCAAGTAAAAAAAAATACGATGCCGGTGGGCGAGCCAAGCTTCGGCACGAATTAGTCGGATCGACCGTATCTTGGCCTCACAGAAAACCGGCGTGAAACAACTACAGTGTGGTGTTTCGCTGTATGAATGACGTTACCGGAGGCCCAATCACTCACCTTCCCCAATACGAAAACCTCTAAATCCCTAATCCCGTTCTCGTAACACCTCCGTTATTGCGGGTACCCATGGGCGGCGCTGATTGCTTACCATCAGGTAATCTGCTTGCAAGTTTGCCGACCTACCACATAAAAAAATATATTATCTTGTCCCGAGACAATATATTCTGATTTATTGCGTTGTAATCTAATTCGTGTCCTTGGGACGCGTCAGACTTCAGAGTTTCGGGGTTTTTTTTATTGTAGTATCCGTTGTGGATCTATGCCTCTAGGGTAGGGTACGGTAGGGTAAAAAAGGGGTCATTTCTTTTCCTTTATGATTTTTTTTTATATCTGTGTTGTATGTAACTGGATCAAATCCGTTTTAACATAAATAAATAAATGCAGGGGTTTTGGGAGGTCGCGGTCAGGCTTACCCCATTATATGCAACAATGAATTTCAGAGAAAAGTTCTATCTACTAATTAATTCATTCCTTTACAATATTTCATTTCATCAAAATGCGTTACCTGGCTCGCCGTCCACTCTTTGGTGTAATAACGAGTGTCATGCATGCCACTGGTTACATCGATGAAGCGCGACGCAATAGTGTCATAAAAATGTAAAAGCACAAGAGATTGGCCGTCACGCAAACATTTTGCGGTTACGCGCGTAAAAAATAGGTACTTGTGACGACTGACGTAGATATCTGAATCGAGAAAATCTCAACGTTTTAATTCATAATGTCTGTGCGACGTACTCACTAAAAATCAGGCTCTGTTTATCTCTTTACTCGATAAAAAACTGTTTATAATTATCATTAATTTTTATTGAAACTTTCAGTACTTACCTAACTAAAAAGTAGTATTACTTACTTACTATTTACTATTTACTATTTACTAAAAAAATAAATTACAGAGACTAGTAACGTATCGAAATGTAAATTTGGGTGATATATCGTGGTTTTGTACCTATGAATATACATATCTACATATGTATAAATATTATAGGTAAGCTCAGCTGTACAGTACAGGCGGAAAATTTTGTGCACAGATGCGCGTTTATCTTCCGCCAGCCGTCTCGGTCGGCTGTGTCGAACGTGTTCCTGGCGCCGTTCAGCGGCGGCGTGTGGGGCGCCAGCGCGTGCGTGGCGGCCAGCGCCGCGCTGCTGCTGGCCGCGCTGCGCCGCCTGCGCCTGCACACGCGCGCCGCCACCGACCTGCAGCTCTTCACGCTGCCCGAGGCCTTCACCTTCGCACTTGGCTCGCTGTGCCAGCAAGGTAGGCACTAGTCTACTACGTGTAAGTTATCAATAGAATTAGTATTCTAAAATCTTTGGATCGATATAAAGTTTTGGTACAAGTTACCTAAATAAAAAAATGGCGGTAAGCGCAGAATGACAATTGATGAGTAAGAGAGAAGAGAGAATTATTGACTCAATTGCTCTGAAACACTTTGATCAATCGGTGTATGTGGTTAACATAAGATATACAATCTTGGTATATCTATACTAATATTATAAAGAGGTAAAGTAATTTTGTATGTAGGGGATAATCTTTGGAACCACTGATCGGATTCCCAAATTTCTTTCACTTATTGATAGCTACAAATTCCTGAGTGCTATAGGCTATAAAACATCACGCTACAATCAAATGGAGCCCAGTAGCTAGTTTAATTTATAATCTAACATCGATTTTGGTAAAAAGACATGCCGAGATTATTTACCTTCATTAGTTTAATTACCAAAACGGATAGGAGTCTCGCGTCGTAGTTTACCTAAGCTAAGCATACTTCAAACTATCAGGTTACCTACTTATATTGAGGATAAGAATGCTTGGCAACACGTTGGTTCGGCTCTGGACAATACTCAAATCAATAGTTGATAAAATTCTGAGAACGAATGAATACTTACCTTGTAACTAGTGTTGCCCAAATGCAAGAACAAGACGAGACTTAGCCAGTCTTGGTCTTGGTCTTGCGCCAATACACCTGGTCTTGGTCTTGGTCTTGGTCTTGCGCTCCCAGTCTTGGTCTTGGTCTTGGTCTTGCAGCAAGAGTCTTGCAAGTCTTGCAATTACCTATTAGTCTATTATTATTTATTAAAGTTTACTTTAAATCTTAGAAAAACGTATTAGAATTGGAACATTCTGAGCTTGAATTAACATAGCCATAGTAAAGATTCAGCAGATTAATAAGTAACCGAAGATTTGATAAGATATTCGAAAAATCAACTGACCTATATGTCGTTTTCCATAGAAGTAACTGTTTCTTAATAAACAGTTATAAATGATTTATAAGCTTACATTTGCTAAAACATGTAAAAAAAAAACAAATTAATTACAATAACTTGACTGTATTTTAAAGAACAATACTTATCTGTCTAGAAAGAGATTGAACCCTCAACTTAAAAGAAATTTCATAAAAGAGTTTTACGATGTATCATTTATTTGAATAAAAAATAAAATACAACACAAATCAACAGCTTTATCATTAGGTTATGATACCTATTTTATATCAATTTTTTTGACCAAGAATTAATACAAAGTAACCATCTGGCAGACTCATCACTTAACCTATTTCTATATTTTCTAATTACTAATGATGCTTTAGAAAATAAACGCTCAGCAGTTTCAAGTATATTTAAAAATTGCTACAATATTTATTAAACGGGTGATATTTGAACACTTCTTTGCAATTTTTTCTTGTAAAAACTTAAGAAATATAATGACTAAATGTACAATAATAGTACCTAAGTAATTAGTTTAAAACCATATAAATAATCAATATTATAATATATACTTACTAGAATGAATTAATATGACATCTAGGTACTACCTATCCTTACCATTTTATCCTAATCATAATACTACTTGCGTGATCAGTATAATGTAGGTATTCATTTTCATTCTAAGCACTCTGAAACTTATATATTCTTTGGAACACCTGTAGGTACTCTTAAAATTAGAAATTATTTTGCATGAGTGCATGAGTATACCTACGTCCTATGGCGGCAATCAAATAGTGTCAAATGTTATGATTTCGGCGTGGCGGCAACGATTGCTTTAGATTTCAAAAGAAGCCGCCGCCGGCGCGTGCATCATAACCATGTACTTCCGAAAAGCGGCAAATTTCTTTGGGAAGTAAGTACAAAACCTTTGATGCCGCATTATCAAAGTGCCGATGGTTAAAACATAACTATGCATGCACTCAGTATGATTTTAATAGATATTTTTTTTATTCGCTATGTTTATGGCACCTATTAGTCGTAATGCGCATAGGTCCAGTTTTGCATATTCTTTGATACAATTTTTTGCGTCTCGTAGAATTCCTAAGCGTACCTACCTATACACCGAACTGTTACACCTAACTACTCAGTGAAATATGCGCTAAGTCCTAGCTGCAAGACGCAAGAGTCTTGCAGGCTAAGTCTTGTTCTTGCTCAAGTCTTGCACGGTCAGTCTTGGTCTTGGTCTTGCTAAAAATACGCGGTCTTGTTCTTGGTCTTGGTCTTGCAAAAACGCAAGAAGATAATAAAAAAAGAAACATTTCTTTTTTTTATTATCTACTGGAACTAAGAGTTTTTGTTGAAGCTTTTGGTTTGATTATCAGTAGGTCTGCATATGTGAGCGCCACGTTCCAGACTATAAAGGATTTAAAATTTAATAATGAGAAACGGATACCATCGTTTGTGCTTTTTTGTCTTTTATTTTCTGTCTGTTCTATTGTCTTGTTTTCAAATACCGATACAATCTATAAATGCGAAAGTAGGTAACTCTGTCTGTCTGTCTTTTCTTCACGCCTAAACTACTGAACCGATTTGTGTAAAATTTTGTACACTCATAGTTTGGAACTCGAGATAGGATATAGGATAGTTTTTAATCCAAAAATCTGCAGGAAGTCACTATACCACGCGAACGATGTCGCGGACTAAAGCTATGCATATAATATATTAAAGAATAATGTAAAAGTGAGCTTGTAAGTCATATAATTTCAGTGTAACAATGGAGTTACTTTCTTGTTCTTCTCCATTTGGATCTACACTTTTGTACAGGCACCTACCTAGCTTCACTGACTGGCTATTATTGTGTTTAGACAAAAGTGCTTGTATAATAAGTTTTGGAGTAGATTTTTGATTTATACTTTGACTTTGAATAAACGACTCATTTGAAAACAGAATACTTACTTTTTTTTGTGAGGGGAATATCATCAAATGACTTCTCCTGCCCAGGGTCGGGCGGGAGGGTGTGTCAGACTCTTACTGACTAAAAACCCCCCTGTTCCTTCTCCTCCTCTGGGCCGAGGCCGCGGTGCCTCATTGCGCTTAACCCGCAACCCCGGCACTTACATAAGTTTCGAAAATCTAAATTAAACGATCGGTGCTCGAAAAACGTCCCATACACATACATGTAGCGCCATCTAGTGACACGTCTACGTAACTATTATTTCAATTTACTCGTTGTGAACATTAGCCGTAGAGTATTGGTAAAAAGTAATTTGACGTTGAAATACGATTATCGCAGGGTTCCATCGGACGCCGCCGGTGACGTCAGTGCGGGTGGTGATGTTTAGCACACTGCTGACGTCATTGTTCGTGTTCACCGCGTACTCGGCCAAGATCGTGGCCATCCTGCAGACTCCCAGCAATGCGCTACAAACTATCGATGACCTGGTGCGCTCACCCATGACCATCGGCGTCCAGGACACCACATATAAGACGGTTTACTTTCTCGTTAGTATCCGCAATCCGTAGTTACGATCCAGTAATGTGCTACACGATTTTTTATGCTTCGTTTACCTTTAGCGTAGTTAGTAGGTAATAGATTGATGAGTTAAACCATAAACAAACCGGTTTAGTAATTAACAGAGTAGCTATTATGAATATAATAACGTCCTAAGTATTTCGTAAATTATAAAATACTTATGACCATTGTCTGTCCGTTGATTTTTGTAGCTTATGTCTGCAGGAGAGTCCTGAGAAGTCGACGCAGCAGCTGTACCGGCACAAGATCCTGCCGCAGGGCGAGCGCGCGTACCTCAGCGTCGTGGACGGCATCGCGCGCGTGCGCACTGGGTTCTTCGCCTTCCAGGCTAGTCGCATAATGCTCTTTGCACAGTCCCCATACACGTATGCAAGACCCGTCGCAAAGGACCACGAGCTTGTTAATATAAAATGTCATAATGTATTGAGTTCTCCTTTGAGTAGGTAGATACCTACATATTTTTATTATAACTTTCGTGAGACATAGGTACTAAATTATTATGTTTTCGGCTTACTCACGTAATATGAATATGAGCCTCTAGCATGATTTGAGTTACTTAGTCAGATTCAGATTCATTGTAATCATTGTAGTCGAGTTCTTCGTCAAATAATTACGTGAGTAAGCCTAAAACATAATGATTTATTTTAATAAATATTATTGCAAATTTTTTGTTTTTATTTGATAAGAGAAATGAGCCTACGGGTTATCTGATGGTAAGCAATCAGCGCCGCTCTCGGAAACCGGCATTAACAGAGGAGTTACGAATGAGTTGCCGACGTTTTGGGGATAAGGGATTTGAAGATTTTGGGATTGCGGGAAGAGAAGTATTGGACCTCCAATACTGTGGTTGTTACACGCCTCCTGGTTTTTTGGTATCACTCCGGTCGAGCCGATCCATTCGTGCCGAAGCATGGCTCTCTCACACTTAACGTTTTCTTGTCTGTTTCTGTGTAAAGACACCTTCATCGACTTCAAGATGTTGTAATAAGTCAAACAGAATATCATTAAATTACTCTCTCGCCTAGGGTATGACGGAGGGAGTGTCAGACTCTTACTGCCTAAAAATCACCTTGTTACTTCTCCTGGTCAAAGCCGGGGCCGCGGTACCTACGTGGAACAGCTGAGGTCCGGTCACTTATGTGAGTATAACATTGCCGTGCAGGTGGAGAAGAGCTCCGGCTACGACATAATAAAGCAGACGTTCACGGAGCGCGAGAAGTGCAGCCTCAGTGAGATCGAGGCGTTCAAGCCGCCGCTGGTGGCCGTGCCCATGAAGAAACACTCTGGTTACAGGGAACTCTTTGCAACCAGGTTTTATTTCATCAACTACATTCTTTCCCCACTAAGGCACTACCCCTTTACATTTATTAAATATTAAATTACATACGTGGGATTCAAACTCTCTGTCTAGCAATGTTTCTCGTTTTGTCTGTACAACCTATCGTGTTTCGTTTGAATTTTCTAAGCTTTTGTGGTGGGCGATTAGCGCCATCTATTAGTGAGATTACCGTATTTGTGTTGTTTAGCTAAACCGCCGATAATCTACACTAATATTATAAAGAGATAAAATTTGTAAGTTTGTATGTAGCGGGTTTATCTTTGGAACCGCTAGACGGATTGCCAAAATTCTTTCACTGATAGGTAACTACAATGTTCTTGAGTGCTTATAGGCTATAAAACATCACGCTACGATCAAATGGAGCCGAGCAGCGGGTGAAACCGCGCGAGAGTAGCTAGTGTAATAATAAAATTGAATGTATAATAATCTTACTATATACATCATAATAATATAATAAAGATGAAGAGTTTGTTTGTTTGAAGGCGCTAATCTCCGGAACTACTGGTTTGAATTGAACAATTCTTTATGTTTAGTTGTTGTTAGTCCATTTATCGAGCAAGGCTATAAAACATCACGCTACGATCTGTAGGAGCTAAGCAGCGGGTGAAACCGCGTGAGAATAGCTAGTGATGAATATTTAGCTGCGGGGAGTATGGTTTAGATGTGTGAGTAAGGTGTGGGTGTAGGATGCGGTGGCAGCGCGAGGTGGGCATGATGGACCGCGCGCGCCGCGTGTGGCTGGTGGCGCGGCCGCGCTGCGAGGCGGCCGGCACCGGCTTCGTCAGCATCGGGCTCATCGACGTCCTGCCGGCGCTCCAGGTGCTACTCCGCTCAGCTCACTATAGTATTATTGTAGTTTGTAGTGCCTCACAACTCCTCTTACTTCGCTAACGCCTCTGCTTCATCAATAACACAATAACCAGCTCTTTTGTTTTTATCACAAAATTCTAAGCAGATCAGACATACCAGAATGTTGAATAATGTGTGTCAATACAATCAACATGTTGCATTTCCAATATCAGCATTATGTTGTCTTACACATTTTGTTTGTAGTGCGTAACTAATAGTGTATCTACTATTTAAATGTATGTGAAGCGCCTACTGTATATATGTGAGCAGGTGTTGGCGCTGGGCGCGATATTGTCGGTGCTGCTGCTGGCGGGGGAACGCGGCGCCCACCTGCTGCAGCGACACTCCACGCCCGCGCCGGCTGCCTCTTAACTAGAACTCCAATACTTTACATGATAAACTGTTGAATAGTCACGTAAGTGTTAGGTACATCGGTGATGTTGGATATAAAATCAAATATAGCGAAAAAATTATAGTAAAATTTATTAATACGTAGCACTGATATTTACAGAAATATGCACTAAGTAGAGGCGAGCAGTGACCGTGGTAGAGCGGCGCGTGCCCCGCTAGCAGAGCAGCACGAGTATGAGCAGCAGCAGCGCGAGCAGCGTGGCGGCGCACAGCGCGCGGTCCGCCACCACGCTCGCCGCCCCCCATGTACCGCTCTCCACCGGCACACACGACTCCTGCACATAAACAACCAAACGATTCAATAAACTATCTACACAGCTTCAGTTTAGTTAGACTTTTATTAATATCTACTCCTACTGCTCGGAACCAATAACTGTGTCGCTACGGACGTCACACATCTAGCACAACATGTGACTGGATGGCAAACGAAATAAATCCAGATAATATCGGTTTTAGAAATGGAGGACTTCGGTTAAACGTGTGCCACATACTAGATGGCGCTAGTGGTCTGATCGTAAACATAATTCGTCACCCTTATTAGCACTGACTGCATTGTTGCCACTGCGCGTTTTTATTGCGAAGTAGTATAGGCAGATAAATAACGTCATTTGAAATTCCATTTTTGCTATCACCCTGAAACTCAGAATATGGTTTTGCTATCTAGAATAGTTTGATCATCTTTTTTTTGTCAGGGGAAAATCATCAAATGTTTTCTCCCGCCCAGAGAGAGTGTCAGACTTACTGACTAAAAACCCCCCGTTCCTTCTCCTGCTCTGGGCCGAGGCCGCGGTGATAGTTTGATCATCTGAGGTAACGCAACATATTTGGTAACTTAATCACTTAATGAAATCGTGTCGCCTGCCTGAGGGAACGGGAGGTCGCACCAGGTGGTGACTCACTTGATGTCTCGAGGAGCGTTTGGCACCTAAGTTTAAGTGTGGCAGAGCCATGCTCTCTCGACTCCGGTCGAGCCGACCCGTTCGTGCTGAAGAATGGGTCGGCTCGACCGGAGTGATACCACGGCCTCACAGAAAACCAGCGTGAAACAACCACAGCGTTGTGTTTCGCCGTGTTAGTGAGGTTACCGGAGGCCCAATCCTTCCCCACCCCCAATCCCTCCTCAATCCCTAAATCTTCAAATCCCTAATCCCTAAAATGTCGGCAACGCACTCGTAACTACTACGTTGCGGGTGTCCATGGGCGGCGCTGATTACTTACCATCAGGTAATCCGTCTGCTCGTTTGCCGATCTATTACATAAAAAAAAGGATTGGGCCTGTGCTCAGTCGCCGCAGTAGGCATCGCGGGCACAAGGACGTAAGGAATCGCGTGGTGACCTCCGGTCTACGGAGGGCGAGCGGGGTAGCTCGCCACCTGACTAGCACCAGTCCCGCACGTACGGCGCGTAGCGTTCCACGTGCTTCTCAAAGGGTCAATACGCCACCACAGAACTTTTCAGGACAGTTAGCACTGAGGCCCTACCCATGCTCACGGGAGTACTTCCCGTCGATCTTGAGGTGCAGCGACGTGCTGCGATGTATTAAAACGCGAGACAAAACTTTTCTGCAAATTCTCTAGCACAACGCATTCGAAACAAAATTGCAAGATTGTTTAAGCCACTTGCGGATGTTTGGGATGAGCTTGTTAGTGAATGGCAGTGTAGATGGGAATCTTCTATCAAGGGCTGCCACCTTTATCAGTTACCATCCGTACAAGAACGCATGAAAAGCAATATCTTTTGTAATTGGTGAAGTAAATGGTTATTATCGGCAAGACTCACGGATGAAGGCGTCAGCTTGCACAACGTGGACAGGGAGGAGAGCAGCGAGCGCAGCGCGTGCGGCGGCGCCAGCGAGCACCGCGCCACCCGCACCACCAGCGCCGCGCCCGCCGCGCTCAGCGCGCCGCACACGCACGCGCCGCACACTGCGCGCAGCGACCGCGGCGTGCCCTGCCCGCCCGGCAGCCGCGACAGCGCCGTCATCAGCCTGCCGGCAACCAGTAACCGTCACACCCGCCGGTACACACGCGTACTGTCGCACATAGAGCGGGGGCTGACCAGAGAGCGGCCGTGAAGGAGGCGCAGGCGGCCAGCGGCGCGCGCTGCTGCGGGGGCAGCGCGGCCGCCGCGGCCAGCAGCAGCGTGGCCGCCGCCAGCACGGCGCCCGCCCCCAGCGACTGCGCCGCCGCGCGCCGCGACACGCGCACCGTCCACGTCGCCACGCTCACGTCCTCGGGCCCGCGCTGCCACGACGCCGTGTCGCTCGCCACCGACTCCATCTCCCACGCCCCCGCCTCAAACACCACTGCGTGCTGGAAACAAACACTCAGGTATCAAGAACATACAATGTCAGACCGCAGCCGCGACCACTCATTCAAATTAAGATATTGTGCAAGAGAAAGATCTCACTTTAAATTCACTGATATCTAGAATCAATTCTTCATTGGTGTAGGTTCTGGAGCCGAACGTGAAGGTGCAGGCCTGCGTGTCTCGCGGCCAGTCAGACAGGTCGAGGTCGAGGGGCGCGGTGACGTCGAGGTGAGTGAGCCAGGACACGGCGCCGGAGGAGGAGAGGCGCGCGCGCGTGGCGGCGTCCCCCTCCCTGGTGGCGGCCGCGTTCAGCAGCACGACGTCGGGCAGCCACAGCCGCTCGGCGGCGGTGAGCACGCTGCCGCAGCCCCACTCCGACGCGTTCCACCGCACGCGCGGCTCCTGCCACGACTGCAACACCACACACGTACCTACTAGCGTAGTTCCACAGCCGACACTGCGGCTCATCCACGGGAAATGATAAAACAAGTGTAGGCGTTAGCGTATCTCTATTACATAGTCAGCTTGCACTGAATACTATCGTTACTTTGTGTTACAGCACGGATTACATGTTGGTGCACTATATCTGAAGCCTGGTGTTTGTAGTTTGTAACTAATTACGAATTTACGAGTGAATTCTACTATAGTCACTTCACTTTGTAATTTGCCAATGTAACACCATATCGCATAGTACGACGCGAGATGTTCTGATAAGTGGTAAGTAAGAAAGTAGGTGGAGCAGTCACCATCTTGAGGTCTGCGAGCAGGCGCATGGTGGCGCGGCCGTCGTCAATGGTGGCGTGGCGCACGTCGAGCGTGAGCGTGAGGCGCAGCGTGGCGGCGGGCGGCGTCTCGCGCTCGTACTCCGCCAGCAGCGTGTCCAGCTGCACCGACAGCTGCGTGGCGTTGCCGCAGTCGCCCCGCACCCGCGCCGCACCTGCAGCCATTGCATCCGTTACCGGCGTCGCGCGACGCAACAACAAAACATCATCAAACAAGTTCACGGGAGCACTGTTAGCTTGGTCAAACAGGGAGTATGCCACAGAAGCAGCCAAGACGAACAAATTTCCGCGTTACTTAGTGCTATCACGTACAATAAACATAGTGTGTAAGTAAAGAGTAGTTGTTACCCCATATGCAGAGCAGCGCGGCGAGCAGGCCTGTCCAGTGCGGCGCCATGTTAGCAACTCGAGCTGTGCGCTGTGTGTGACGCTGTGCGGGGACACAGCCGCGCGCAGGGGCCGCACACCTTCGGAGTACATTTGCTATAACTGCATCATTTATCTTCAAAATGTCATTTGACACGTTGGCCAAATACCGAACAAAGGGAATTTGAGTTAAAAAAGGAAAACTAAGTTTTACTTAAGTTTTCCATAATTGAAAACTGCTCACTAATTTGAATTGTACTTTTGATACTTATAAAAAAGCGGATAAATTTTATAATGATAATTATATAATTACGAATTTTAAGTGTGGGAGAGCCATGCTTCGGCACGAATGGGTCGGCTCGACCGGAGTGATACTACGGCCTCACAGAAAACCGGCGTGAAACAACCACAGTATTGTGTTTCACCTTGTGAGTGAGGTTACCGGAGACCCAATCCTTCCCCTTCCCAATCCCTCCCCAGTTTCTTAATCTCCAAATCCCTAATCCCTAAAAGGTCGGCAACGCACTCGTAACTCCTCCGTTATGAGTGTCCATGGGCGGCGCTAGTTGCTTACCATCAGGCAATCCGTTTGCTCGTTTGCCGACCTATAACATAAAAAAAAACAATATATGGAAGAATTGACATGGATAAGCAACTAGCCTGCGCTAGCCTGCCTAGGTGGCTCATAGGCCCGAGCGAATAGGTTAGTCATGGGTAGGGGCCAGTTGGCCGTACCATCACTTACCACAAGAGTAGTGACGCCGGCCTAAATTCAATAAAAAAATATTAGAAGAAGCAACTTATCCCAGAGTTGAGCGCCCCTGCGGGTGGCGCTGCGCGTGGGCACACTATCGGCGCAGTATCCGCCCTCACAAGGACAGCTCTACTCTGTGCACTGCTTAGTTATTATTGTTAATGTTACCAATTCCCACATTCCACTTAATATATTTAGTATTCGTCAACCTAAATTGCAGGATTGTTTCATGGCAAAGGGGCAGGCTGATCATCAGATAGAATGCCTATGGAGATGGAGGACTAGACCTGACGAGTCACGGGTGAATTGTTAACCTTTAAACCTTTCAGTCGTAGTAATATGAGACAATAGTAAGACAATAGGCGTGCGAACGCCGGCGTCCGCTTGAGGTTTGATGAATTAAAGAAGAAGTACGCTCTTGTGTTTTTCGTAGTGACCTTTAGTCCTACACTAGGGGTATTCCTATAACGGTTTCTACAGCAGAGTTTCTGCGCGAAAATCATGCGACGCATCTACAGCCGGTTGCACGGGAACTGCACATTCTGTGCAGTTTCTTTAATAGAATTGGGGGCAGACGATCGACACCTGCAACACCAGAGAAGCCGCAAGCAAGTTGCTGGCATTATAAAAAGGAGTACACACGTTTCTTGATGATTTGAAGTTCTTGTACATGCTTTTCCCTTGCCAACAGTTCGAAGTTCGGAGGTTATTCTAGGTAGCACGAAGGCTGTTCCCAGACCATCATGCATTACGCTCGTGTTTTTTATAAACAAATAACGTGCCAAAATAGGAAGTTAGCAAGCCGAGAACATTAGCTATATACACAGATAACACACATCCCTTCACATCGAAGCAGGAACCGCGTGTAAAAGGTCATACACTTATAATAACATATAAATAAATAAATAAAACGTCGGCATTGTTCAGAAATTTATTATTATTTTAATATATTTACATTTGACAAGGAACTGTTGGGATTATCATACATATCTGTGTAGGTATCAACTGTGCTTTACAAAATTATTATTGCCACATTCCACTTTATATATTATTTAGTATTCGTCAACCTAAATTGCAGGATTGTTTCATGGCAAAGGGGTTTATTATTATAAATGTGTAAATGGTTGTATATGAACTTTAATATGTATATGCCAATATATAGTACGAAAAATTACTTTTTATTGGTTTAAATGTTATATAACAACAAAATATTTAGCAAACAAGAAGTAACAACATCAAATAAAGTTAGGTCGGCGTCACTGCTGCCATCATTAACCGAACATAGATGATAAGGGCTATATTAAAGATTAATTTCTGTCGCTACAATATTACAACATGAATCAAACAAAACTTAAGTATTTACAACGATCTTTTGACAACTAACAAACCTTATGTTGATGTGGCAATGACATACAACATTGGAAACATACAACTTAACACTGTCACTAATTAACTAAATAGAACAAAACGATAATCGAGTAAGTATGATATGTAGTCATGCTGGTATCGTAAATAAAAACTTTTAACATTCAGTTATAGGTATGTGTATTTTTCCTACAATTTCATATAGCTACTTATTGCATAACTATTACCGTCCCATTAGGAATAGAAATATTTATAACCTTCCCAAATTATCAAAAATCTGATGAAAATTCAAAGTTGTCCTACAAACTGAAATCTGATTAAGTATACGGTGTTTGAAAATCTTAAATTATTGTGGAAATTTAATATAACCCTGTATTATACAACTTAAAAGTACAAAAACGGGGACTATGTTGAAACAAGAATATTAATCATAACTAACAAAGGTCTTAAGTTCAATAAAATCGCCAATGACAAGCCATTGACACAACCAGGACTGATCGCTTAATCAATGCCATCTATTTTCATTGCTGATAGGGGAGGGAGCACTCGAAATAATCTCGCGAACTTATTTATCATCCCATCCCAAACATCTAATAAGAGATAGATGTTTTCAGTTTACTTTCAGTGCTTTTACAGTAGCTTACTTCGTGATGTAGGTATCTGTAAACGTACGATGGCTTTTTCTAGTTTATTGATATACACAATGGTGGTCAAACAAAACTACTTATTTCGCAATTCGTAAAACAACAGCTATCACTATGACTATACAATCATAATGTTATATGTTATTGTACAAATATAAAACAGTTCTTAACCTTCAAATTGGTTACATTGTTTATAATTAACTATGGTACTTTACCGTTTCCTAAATTAGAAATGTATAATGTTCAAATCAGGAGGAACAATTACGCTAACCCTACACTTAGAAAGCAGAAACAAAAAATGGTGAATAACCTAGGTAAAATACAGCTACGTATAATGATATTAACTCTTAAACCACTTAAGTAATACAATAAATCTAAAATTATTAATAACGTAATATTAGAGTAATCAAGCAAGATAGAATAGTTGGGCTTTAACTTGAACGTGCTTACAAACTCAGCAGCACTTTTGCCCGAAACGGGACGAAACCCGGATGAGGTAGAATCGTACAAGATAGGTAACATTAACACCGTCGAGACTTCATTCAGTCACTAATGTACAGGCAACTATTTAGTAGGAGAAACAGAAAATGTACATTTCATTAGATTTAAAAGGAATATAAACAAAATATGCAGGGTATTTAAAATGTATTAACGGCTGTCTGTCTTATTTATTTATCTTTATATTACTCGTAGTTTAAAACAAAAAACATGTATTTTTTGTTTACTTACTTATGGAATCAAAATACTTAATTTGTCTTTGTGACATACGAACTAACATTTGTAAACTCCAAATTCGTTTAAGGCCCACCTCTGATTGAGATTTTGATTGAAGTAGAATGCAATGAAGATATGGGAGAATCACTCCCTGCAGCGGAATGAACGGATACGGTGGGAGTCTATTCACCAAGCAGTGGCTCTAGTTTTTTATATTTTCTGCTTATTTATTTTTTATATCATTACACAAATTAGTGCGGTTTATCACTCACGAACAGTTTCAAGCGAATTGTGCGTTAAAGTAGGCAACAGTGATCAAAATGACGGCTGTCAAAAGTCGCTATCAGCTGCTTGCCTTAAACAAACTTAAACACATATGTAATCGGTTTTTTATTCGACAAAAAATAAATTTTTCACAATGTTAATGATGGACAAAATTAGTTTATTTTTGATACCCTGTCGTATTAAAATGTTGCTACCCTATTGGGTGCTTACTTTTTGATGTAGTAATTTTATTATAAGTGCATATTTACAATTTCATTACAAAGCAGAATATGCCAAATAACACTTTATTTAATTCTGTAATTAACACTTGTACCGCTGTTTTCAGACATAGTAATTTAAGCCAGATTTTTGTAACTAACACCACTACGGAAATACTTAAGATAGTGATAGAAATTGATTCTGGGCGAGTATTGAGAGACAACAGACGATATTTCCTTATCTAAACTATAGTTTAAGATGATAACTCAACGTTAACACTGATGTACTATTACAATATTTGCAGGATGCCGCGTTCCTCACAACTCTCCTATATCTCTACCTATATGTATAATAATATGACAAACTATTACACGCGCTACATCCATTACACACGGTACAGTGTATACAATAAAATATAGTTCATTAATAAGTTGTAATATCCACTTTTTATCCTCTATACTCTGTATTACATTGTTAATGAATATATGTATACTTTTTCAGTTATAACAAAGATATAACAAAACAGAAATACTTTCAGTTTATATTACTAAAAGCTAACATTCTCAGTAACGAAAGTAACAACTAATATTACAGACAATAAGCATATGGAGTAATGTATTACAACATGACATTCAAATATGTATATGTACAACCACAACGTCAACCTTTTTAATCCCCGGCGATTGAAAAATCTAAACAAACCGATAATGCTTTGGTCGATCGCGAAATCGAACCTACAAGTTTTCAAGCACTTAATTAACAAGGTAGTATCTACATACATACATTATAATATAGGTATTTACTTTACAATTTTATTGTTAAAGAGTGTTTGAATATTTCCAAATGTTTGCTCAAACTTACCAAGTGATATAGATATGACATGACTAAAGCACAAATCCGCGAGCTTGCATACACAACACTTGAATATTTTACAATATACAACACGACTACCTAGTTACCTAATCTCTAACAGTTTACCAGTAATATTTGTATAAAATTATTATGTGAATACTGCCTCGACTGTGGTAAAATCTCAAGTTTATGAAGTCGTTTTAAATTGGTACTTACGACATAGTACCCAAACGTATTA